TAGTTTAGAATAATTTCTATAATAAACTCTAAAATTAGGATCCTTATTGTTTCTTAATTCATTGTAGATTTCTCTTTTATGTTTACAGGATTTCATTATTCCTGGTGTAATCCATGTATTGTTTTTTTGAACACTTTTTTTCTGAATTAGAGGGAAACTGGAATAATATGTTCTCAAAATTATATTTAAAAATAAGTTAAAACTCTTGTTAACATCATTTTCATCAAAGACTGATTCCCATGATTCCTGACTTAGTTGTAATTGAAAATTTGCTATGGTGTCATTATTTATCATGCGTTTCATGTAAGTATATTGTTGTTGTACCTGCTTCTGTACTTTATGTAATGTTAACAACTGAGCATCATGATCTGATAGTCCATTTACTAGTGGATATATATCATATTTATCAATTCTAGTTGTATCAATAAAAAAATTATCAATTATAGTACTTGTGGAAATGTCCACTCTAGTAGGAAATGTTACAATACCAATAAGATTATAAGAAAACAAGATAGCATCTAATTGCTTTTTCCTACTATCATCATTTAAGTAATTTACATTTATATCACCACATATAATTATATTATAACTCTCATGATATAGCTTATGCAAAATCTTATCTAGTTTCTCTAAAAAATTTGTAAAATTACCCGATGGAGACCTATAAATGGTTAATATACAAAGTTTTTTTCCTCCTAATGAGTTCCTAGGCAGTCGAATTGCACATGCTTCAATGTCTTTATCAATGGTGAATTTTTCTAAATTTATGGTATTGTATTTTAATTTGCTATGTACAAATATGCTTACCCCTCCTTTTTGGAAAGATTTCCTACAATATTTAGCACCCAGCGTATAATCACTAAAATATGTCACATCAAGTTCAAAATCTTTTAAATGATGCTCAGACATACATATAATATGTGGTGGATCATGGGATAAATGACAATATAGTTCATCTAATTTGTTTCTTGCTCCTCTAATATTTTGATGAAAGACTTTCAAAGATGATTTTGATATGACCTGTTTATCTATTAGCCCATCATCCATAAAAAATCTTTATTTCTATTTACCGGATTTCTTTTCTGCCTCTTTGATACTCTAACTTCCTTATTAGCTATTTCACTGTTTACTTCATTTACAAAATTCTTTTTTACCTCTACTTGATTTAACTCTTCATGACCTTTCCATTTTAACATAATGGGAGCCTCATTATGCTTTACCAGGATTGTTTTTACATTTTGCCCTAAAAATATAGCCATCTTTTCTCTACCCGAAACATTCAAGTGCATACCATGACGTGTGAATTCACTTCTACTCAAATTTGCATTAATTACTCTCACATTACTATTTACTTTCATCATTTTTTGCATTTTTCTATTGAATACCTCGATTTCCTTATTTACACAAGAAGATATTTGTAAATCATGCCTATGTGGAACAGTTACAATAAGTATATTAGTATGTTGTATAACTGATACAAATTTCTTCAAATGACTGAGTCCAACATTAGATTCATTCTTGCTGATGTCATTAATACCTCCACATACTATCACTGCGTCATTTTTACTCAGTGCTTTTATTCCATTGGTATTCAATTTTACTATATTTTCAAGCCTAGCACTTGGCATCACTGTTCCCATGATTTCAAAATCCTCGCCAAGATAATTTGATATACTGGCAGCATAACCCCTTGCATGACTATCACCAATAATTAATATTTTATTTCTCTTTCCGTTGAGAGGATAGTTTTCCTTATTTCCTCTTTGTACTAATTTACTTGAAGTTTTTATGTCCTTATCTATTTTGTCAGTTTTTATTTCATTAATACAATTTAACACACAGCTTCTCTTCGTATTTATACCATCCGATTTCACACTTTTTTGCAATTCACGTCGATTCAATACCACCCGTATAGGATTCAATTCTGTTTGCTTCATACATGCATCAGATTTCCTTGCACCTTTAACAACATCTGACCATGCAGGATATTTGTTGTCTACTTGTTCACTAGTTTCACTAACACACTTATCTAGGTTAGTTTCCATCTGTTCAAGATCCTTTAGGAGAAGATTTATAATTGATTTAGCAGACTTTAACTCTTCGAATGCACTGAGTAGTTGGTTTTCTAGAATAACACAGTTTTCACAGTCTATTGCACTTTTAACATTTAATTGGCACGATAAATGTTGAGAATCACAGTGCTCCCGCAACCGCAAGTCCGCCATGTTGAACAACATGTCAGTGACATGTGACTCATAAATGCCGATTAACCCACGAAACTTGTTTGTGGATATCTGTCTGTCTACATGGGTGGAATTATTGGTATTGTGTTGTAATTTAAAATTTTAAATGGCCGTGAAAGTGCTTAACATATTGAATAAGATGTACACTATGCTTAAACTGTTAAATTTCATTCCATACTTGTATGTCTGTTGCAACCAATTTACAATTAATTTAAAATTAATCAGTAATTTTGAAATAAATATTGATAAGGTGGTTAGAAATTTTGTAGTGTCGTGGTCTGAGACTGTATCTTTGTCATTAAGACTGGATTTGATCACACGTGGAGTTGTGGATGATGGGCACATTTATTTGTATTAAAAGAGTTGGGCATAAGGCAGTAGACTTACATGTTTTGACTTTTAAGTGAAGTCTGAGTATACATCCATTATGAATTTTCTTACAGCTGTCAGAGTACTTGATGTGTTTGATTCAGATCTAGGGAGTGATTCTAACATTTATAGGCCAAAATTATTTTCATTGAATTTTACATAGGAACTTATACTTTGTTTGTGTGCATAGATGCTTCCCTTGTGGACTTTCCCAATGTGTGACTTAAAATGTGCTAATTTGGGAAAGGAAAAATACAATGTCGGAGATCAGTTCTTTCCATTCTCATTCATGAATATAATTGCAGTGTACCTTGACCTGTCTGAGGAGAATTTTGGAACCGACTCTGTATGAAAAGTTCTGTCCTATAGGATGTAATCCGATGTAGTCATTTGGAAGTCAGCTGACATTTTTGAAGAACATGTCACCTCCATCTTCTGTCCAAATAATAAGCCAAGAAAGAAACCAACATGAAGCAGGTTTCACACATTACACTGATTTCTTGCTTGGCTCATTTTCCACGAGCTGTATCTCTTCATAACCATTGGTGTGAGATCCTCAGATCTTATGTACTCTCTGTGGCTTGTGGCTACGTTATATTGCAGGGATTGATGATTAAACACTCCGTCATTGAAAATTTAAGAGGCACAACACAGAGCAATCAGCTTGAGGTGGAAATGTGCTGGATGCAGTTAACAGGGCAGTACTTTACTGGGTGACCACAATGCAGGGTTTCCCCAGCTTTAGGTACTGACTCATTCTCACTGATGCAAAACTTCATTAATGATAACTGTTGGTGTATAATTCAACAACAGTTTTCATCATCAAATCCTTCATAAGAAGGAAAATTTATAGAAAGTGCATTTGGAGGTTCATTTTTGAATGCCCACAAGAACGAGTTCCCACAGAATGGTATGTACCGAAGTTCATCATAAAGTGGTGGATCACTGGTTCGATTTCTGACAGAATGAAACCATTGAAGATGAATGTCCAAACTGAAAGAAAAGTTTAAGATATTTAGGCATGGTTAGGGATCAATATTCACAGATGGATAAGACTCTTGGCACAAGAAACTAGCATCTGTGTTCATACTAAAAAGACCAATTAAATTTCTCCTGTATAAACTAATATATGTATACAGGAACTTAAGCAACCAATTTATATATTAAGAGTTAATTTCTGTAGCTGGTTACTGCATGCATGATGGAGTCGTGGATCTACACCATGAATGTATAGCTGATGAGGCCTTATGTAATGGTCCTGTCAGTGCCCAGAATGTATGAATATGGAGTGAAAATATCCTCACACCATTCAGCGAGGTCCATTACATGATGTTAAAGTATTGGTAATGTGTGTTGTCACGTACGTACAAAATTATTCACTTCAGAACATGTAGCAGAACTTACTTATGTGCTGCAGGGCATCCTTAAAGACAGAAGGGGATTAATTCCAGTAATTCATATGAAATATGCTCTGTTTGTGTTGCCTATTGGCAGTAATCAGGAATGAAGTTCTGTATAAATAGAGTCAGCATGCTGTGTAAGGGAAACCCTTGTACTGTTCTCTATATGGTAATGCAGTAAACTGTTGGTGCGCTATCACAAACATTGTGTTTCTGTCTCAGTTGAATGCACTCTACAGTTCTTTATGTTGGCTGAATAGGAAAGACGGTAAAAGCTCGCACTCTGAAATTTGCCTCTCAGGGGGATGTGAATGAGTGTGCTTATAGCTGCATATGTAAGACTGAGTGTTGAGATTTTAGTATGGTGATACCAGCAAGCATAAAAACTCAGGTGGTTGTATTCTTGAGCTTCATATTTGTGAGGTCCTATTATTATTATTATTATTATTATTATTATTATTATTATTATTATTGTGACATGTTGCGCCAAGC